AGCTGGAAGAGCCACGTGGAGACCCACACCAGCCCTGAGATGCTTCCAGCGGCACTGGATCCACAAGCCTTTCCACCCACTGACCTGTGATCTTCCTGCACCAGGCGTCATTGTAAGTGTTGCATGAGTCATGAGCGCACAGGACCGGGCAGTGTTTCATTGTTTACAGAGTGTGTGAAGCCGTGTTGTAAAGCGAAACAAACCCAGTGGCACGTGCGTACATGTAAGAAATCATCTCACATCGAGAGGGCAGGCAGCCCAGCCCAGTCTGACTCAGGCCCACAAGTCCCCTGCAGACCCGGGCCCTCTTCCGACTTCGCACGAGCTGCAGGCTCATGACACAGAACAGCGAAGCAGGCCAGGAGGATCACAGGCCGGTGGGTACAGAGTCACGCGGACCCAAGGTCGGGGGAAGCCTGGCCGGGGGCCTCAGCTCCCAGGGTCAGGCAGCCCACACTGGGGAACCCCCAGAGTCAGACACAAGGTCCCAGCAAAAACGAAAGCAAAGGGCAAGAGAGAGAGAGGAGGCTCCCAATGTCCATCCTGATAAGATGGCCATGCCCCCAAAGAGGCTTCATCAGGCTGTGAGATGACTGACAGGTTGGGTTCCACCCCCCCTTGGACAATTTCATAAAAACTCAAGTTGACATAAAAATCATCCAACTATACACAGTGGGTCGCTGTGAGTCGGGATCTGCCAACAACAGGAATTTGAGCTTGGGTCTGCGGTCTAGCGCGGTATCAGGGGCCATCTCTTGAGGTCCTGATTAGAGGAACCTCCTCTTTAAAGGACTGGAAGGTCCTGTTTCAGAAGGTGACAACTTTACAGTACTTAGGCCCCATGGTGGTGGAGAAATTCATTCACTTGGTCAAACTACTGACAACCACCCCCCAGCCACGTTTCCAGCCCTGCCTCTAGGAGGGGAAGATCCACCGGGCTGAACTCCTGCCTCTTCCCCCATCCTCTAAGAGTGCTCAGAGGATGGGAGGCTGCCACTGGGGGGAGGTAAATAAGAAATAAATAGAAAGGGGCGCCTGGCCTGGAGCCGCTGCGGATTAGCTAGCTCATTAATCTCCACAACTGTTTGACGAGGAACTAATTAATCCGCTAAGTGCTAAGAAGGGCCCTGGCCCTGGCCAACTGCAGGGGAAGTTTCACTGGTCACCCCGGCTGCTGAGGGGAAACTGGGGGCTGCCACGGTCTTCAGGAAGCCTCCCCCACTTTACAGAGGGCACTGTGCATCTGCCTGTACAGAGGCAGGCAGCCACATGTTCCTTCTTCATATGCCGCTGATGGGTTTGAACCTCTGACCTTGGGGTTGGCAGCCCAAGGACTAACCACAGCAATTGTGGGACTCCTTCAGCAGGTTTGAGAACCCATCTTCAGACGTGGTCATGACCAGCCTTGAATTTCTTACCAGCACTCAAGGAAGACGTATGAAGATAAAATGACCATCTAAGCCTTTACCAGGAGCCCTGATGGCACAGAGGTTATGAGTCGGGCTTGTAACTGCGAGATCCGCTCCTGGTTCAAAACCAGCAGCCGCTGCATGGGAGAAAGATGGGGCTTTCTACTCCTGTAAAGAGTTACAGTCTCAGAAACGCACAGGGGCAGCTCTCTTCTGCCCTCATGCTGAGCCTGCGTCTACTCAATGGCAGTGAGTTTGGTTTGGAAGTCTTTAGCAGACTCAACTTTACAAAGTTACCTGAGGAAGCCCTGGTGGCGGTCCGGCTGCAGCACCTGGTGGGAGAGTCACGTGGCCCTGGGTAGATTGGCTCTGACAGGTGACCGGCTTTCAACAAAAAGTCTGCGGAAAACAGAATGAGAAGACCAGGGTCTGTTCCCACAATATTTTTGGAGGCCCCTCCTACACACTCGTTGTCTCTACACGCTGGGCATGCCACAATGACTAGGAGACGTCCTCTATCTGCACAGTGGCCTGATGGGCCAGCCCTCCAGGGCCCTTCCCACTGCCAGCATCCTATGGCTCTCTGCTTCCTAGCTGGCTCTGGAAGGCTGAAGTCTACAGCCTTCACCTATTAAACCTGAAGTCAGTTGAGAGGCAGGTTTCTGAGTGCAGGAGACCATGCCATTTCTGTGTGTGTGTGTGTGTTCACATCACACATGCATTTGGAGTACCAGGGTAGTGCAAATGGTCAACTTGATTGGCTTCTGATAATGGAAAGGTTGTCCACCCTGGAGGAGTGTGTTAGTCCGGGTAGACTAGAGGAACAAATTCATCGACATGCATATATGTATTAGAAAAAGCTTTATATACAAGAGCAATTGTATATTGAGGAAACATCCCAGCCCTGTCCAGATCAAGTCCATAAGTCTGATATTAGTCCATGTGTCTGATACCGACCTACAAATTCCTCTTCAGACTCACACAGCACATGCAATGATGCTGAGTGCAGGAAGATCATAGGCCAGTTGATGGGAAGTCTTGTAGATCCAGTGGCATTGTAAGCATCTCAGCGCTGAGAGGGGTCTCCATGTGGCTCCTCCAGCTCCCAGGGCACTAGTGTAGTTCCATGTGTCTTGTCAGCTGCAATGCCTCCCAGGGAGTGAGCAGAGAGAGAGTGTGTCTCCCGCTTCCAGGGAGGAAGACAGGAGTTCCCAGAATCCTCAGGAGAAGGCCATGCCCACCTGACTCCACCCCTTCACTCTTAATCCTCTCAAATTGACAATAGATTATACAGCTACCACAAGGAGCTAGACTCCGCCCCTTCACTCTTAATCCTCTCAAATTGACAATAGATTATACAGCTACCACAAGGACCTAGACTCCGCCCCTTCACTCTTAATCCTCTCAAATTGACAATAGATTATACAGCTACCACAAGGACCTAGACTCCACCCCTTCACTCTTAATCCTCTCAAATTG